AATAATAATAATAATAATAATAATAATAATAATAATAATAATAATAATAATAATAATAATAATAATAATAATAATAATAATAATAATAATAATAATTTAACAATAATAATAGCAATTATATATACATATACTATTTCAATAATCGGTGAATATATAATAAACATAGCAAAAAAATCCTTAAAAATCAGTAAATAAGAAAAAGATTCAAGCTTTTTACATGGAAATCGGGGAATCTGAGAAGGAAACCATTGGGCACGAAGCTCTTGTTGGACGCCCAATTGTCGAACTCATCAGCCTGTGATTGAGAATCAGTAAAGAAGCCCTCTTTTTCCCCTCTCCCTACGCTCGCCGAATTCGGATGGAGCAAATTCCCGACCGCCCTCGCGATTGGAGCTTCTATGGCAGTGAGGCTGCTCATTCCTGATCCCCACACCGTAGGATCTGAATCCGCCATCGAGCTTTTTCCGATCGAGCTCCTCAACGGTGGGAATTCAGAAATATTGGAATGAGAATTTTGGAGGAATGGATGTTAAAGAAATTATAGGGCAAAGAGAAAAAAAATGATAATAATTAGTGTGGTTGGACGTTAGAAGTGGAGCAGAAATAATGGATTAGAGGGTTAATATAATTTGGAAGCTTTGTTTTTCTTATTTTCAATCTAGATTACATTTCTAAAAGATATTGAATAGATTATATGAAAGTTTATGTAATATGGAATATAAACAAAAATTTCTGATTTTGATCTTTTTATTCCTTAAAATGTTTGAATTTAAAATTTTAAGAGTGCCATTAGGCGGGATTTTTCGAAAGTTTTCAAAAAATACTACCACATTTAGAAACTTTAAAAATTTTAGGCGGGAATTTAGGTACTATTTCAGGTAAATATCAAACCTTTTTATATGTATATAGATACTACCAATTTTAGTGGTTAGCTTAGTTGAAGAGCTAATATATTGTAACTAATGATTGAACTTCATGATTAAAGTTGTCGATCCAAGTGCTTCCTTAGATACTATTACTAGGGCTAATTACGAACCACTTTTAACTATATCAAATAAAATAAATAAATCATCCATATACATAATTCCTGAATGCGCTGAGCCTACGTGGCTGTTTTTGGTGCTTCGAAATCCTATTTGGCGAAGAATCATGATTTAATTAGGTTTGGATAAATAATATTGATATATTAATAATTAATAATCTAGGTTCAGGTATTTCATAGATATTATTTAGTTAACTTAAGTATTTTAATATCACTTTTACTAATATAACCCTTTAATTCTTTGTAATTTTATATAGTGAGACACTAAGTGACTAATATATCCCTGAATTTTGATTTGTTTCCTTCAATAAGCTATTGAATTATATATGTATTTTAAAAGTTGATAACTTTTGTATTTCTTATCGGTTTTACATATATAATATATCAAATTAATCATCTTTTGATGATCTTCGATTTGACATCCATATTGTATATATGAAATAAATAAATTATATTTATCTTTATAATAATAAAAAATAATAATATTTATTAAAATTTATAAGAAAAATAATATTATTTCTCAATTGATATATTTATATGTAATATAGTTATATATTGTAAGTTAAAAAAAATTAGTATAATATAACACAAGTAAGTTGCACAAATAAAAAATGTCATAATAAATATATAATAATATATATATTCTTATAAAAGGTATTTAAATTTTCAAACTACTTTTTCTCATTAATTTTATATTTTAAGAAAGAAAAATTAACAAGCACCCGTGTAATTGTACTAGTAAATAAATAAACATGAAGATGGCATCTCAAACAACTGAAAAAAGATAAAATAAAAAAAAAACTAAAAATTCAGATGAAAAGATTAGAGGTGGCCAAATGCCGGACGCTGACCCTGACCCGTACCGGCCTGCTGAGTCGACGAGCCTCAATAACATGGCCCGTGACCGGCCCGAAATAAACTATGGGCACCGGCCTGAACAACCGGTTCGCCGACTCGGCTGGTCATGAGCCGGTACGATCTTTAAAAAGGAAAAAAAAAATAACACCGTGGTTCATCTTTCGACCCGCGGCCCGAACCGGCGGGTAAAAAAAAGTGTGAACTGGGACCGAACTGCAGCCCTAAGGGTCCGGTTCAACGAACCGGTCCTTAGGAGGCCGGTTAGGGTTGGGCTGGGACCGATTCACGGGCTGTGGACATGTCTTGATCAAAAACTTTGAAAAATCCACAAGTCCGAAGATTCAAAATTGGAATTTCGAGCATATCACGCCCTCTAATTTCAAAGGATCACATTCACATCAGTACTTAGGCTAAACTCTCATTGGCCGTGTGTGACTGTGTATTGCAAATGGAGGTTGACTTGAACAACATTGACTTTGTTCTGGAATCTGATGAAGAGAATCTCCAGTCATCCAGCGCTTATATAATAATCAAATTTGTCCTCGTTTGCCGCCTGCTAGCTGCAAAGGAACAACGTACAAATAATATTAATATTAATATGCTCAAGTCTTGGTCAACTTCAATAACTCCGTGATTGTATTGCTTGTGAAGTATAAGCCTTTGCCTACACATGTTTTTGTTACCTTAGAACACAGAAAAATCAAAGTCAACCTTTTTGATCGAGTCATCATATGTTCGTATATCGAACTCGTAGCCGAGTATGCGATCGAACAATCATGGTTGCATTAACTGAATGCTCTGGTTTTGCTGTTGTTCCTTACATTCTTATACTTTTTGTCTTGTTTTCCATCAACTGTCGAGGGGAAAGAGTTTCAGAACAAACAACTGTCATCGACATCGGTGTAGTTCGAAACTCAAAATCACCTTTCGGTGAGATGATAAATCTGTGCTTAGAGATGGCAATTTTAGATTTTTACACAGCAAATCCTGACTATAAGACAAGGATACGGCTGCGGACTAAGGATGCAGAAGACGCGCTCGGCATTAGTCTTGCAGGTGCACACATTAAGCCTTTTCAATTTGGTTTTAAGTTTAACACGCCCACAGTGAGTTAATCTTAGTTTTTTCACAATTTAATTACAAATGCAGCTCTACACTTAGTGCAGCAGGATCAAGTGCATGCAATCTTATGGCATCACGAACCAGAGCAAGCAGAGTCGTTTGTCGTCGAGCTCGGCCGAAAATCCCGAGTCCCGATAATCTCCTTCGCCTCAACCACCGCCGATTTTTCTGCCCCACAAAACGATTATCTCGTCCGGGCTTCCCTAGATGACTCGGTCCATGCTCGGGCCCTTGCGTCCGTTTTTCAAGAATTCGCGTGGAAAAACGCCGTAATTCTCTATGAAGACTCCGCCGCCGGCCGCCGGTTCCTCTCCCGCCTCAACGCCGCGTTCCGGGACGCCGGAATCGCGCTTTCCGACGCTGTAGCCGTGCCTCCATCTGCGGGCAGGGCCCACATCCTCGACGAGCTGGCCGAGCTGAATGCGAACCAGACGGTCAAGGTCTTCCTAGTCTATGCGGGCCCCACGCTCGGGTCCCGGTTGTTCGCCGCGGCCGATGAGGTCGGCATGATGCGAGACGAGCATGCGTGGATAATCACGGGCGCGATGTCCGACTTCGCGATGAGCTTCGTCGATATTCGAGACGCTCATCGGGAGTCGATGGACGGAGCCGTGGGCGTGAGGGCCCGAGTCCCTCCTTCGGACGAGCTCGGAAAATTCCACGAGAGGTGGAGAATAAAAAGTACGATTATGAAGATCGAGAAAGAAAAGGAAGACGATTCGTGGAGGATAATGGACCTAAATGTTCGCGGGCTTTGGGCTTACGACACGGTGACCGCATTAGCAACTGTGGTGGAGAAGATCGTGCGGTCGAACGCGAGCTCGAGCTCTAGATCTGCTTTTGGCCCCCGACTACAAGAAGAAATGTTTAGCATTCGAGTCAAGGGTTTAAGCGGAGAGTTTGAGCTATTGAACGGGACGCTAAAGCCCTCAGCGTTGGAGATATTCAATGTCATGGGAAGTGGAGAACGGAGGTTAGGATTTTGGACGCCCCAGAACGGGATAGTAAGAGATTTGGATTCAATGCCGGTTAAAGAACTTAAAAGAATCGTGTGGCCGGGAGATTCCGCTACGCGGCCAAAGGGGTGGGCCGTACCACCGACGGGCCCGGTTAGGATTGGAGTTCCGTGGAAACAGGGATACACGGAGTTTGTGAAGGTGAAGATCGACAACAAAACAAAACAAGTAGAGGCAACTGGGTTTGTTATCGATATCTTCTTGGCAACGTTAAAGGTGTTGCCTTTTCCGATCAATTACACGTTTGTTTGCTATAACGGTACGGGTGACTCGGATTGGAAATATGACGACATGCTTGCCGGGATATCGGAAAAGGTATTATAAAGAGAATAACCACAAAAATCCTACACTAATTTCATTATTTATCAAATAAAATTACTCGAGTGGTATAATATCAATCGATTATTTTCCTATGTTTGCGACAGAAATTCGACATGGTGGTTGGGGACACGACGATTCTCTCTTCACGAGCATCGTACGTTGATTATTCACTACCCTACGCCGAATCGGGACTCGTTCATCTCGTCAAGAATGAAAAGCCATTCGACATGTGGATTTTCACCAGGCCGTTGAGGTGGGATTTGTGGCTGGCTATCACACTGTCATGTGTGATCATGGGATCGGTTATCTTGGTTCTTGAACGCGGGATTACTAATCCTGCTCCCATCGACCGACCCATAACGGTCTGTTTGGCTCCCATTGAAGTTCTGGCTTTCCAAGAAAGTAAATATTTCTTTTCACTCAATTCATCTGCTATCATCTATGTCTATCCCAAACTAAGAACTTAGGTACTTAAATTCCTCCAGAAAATAACGTATCGAGCAAATGGTCGTTCTGCATGTTGATTTGCTGGTCGGTTGTGGCGTTCATATTGATGCAGAGCTTCACGGCCAACTTGTCGGCAATCCTGACCGTCGATCAGCTGATTGAGAACCCGGACCACAATTGCTACATCGGGTACCAAGGCGCATCGTTCGTCAAGTCATTTTTGGTCAACCAACTAAAATACAACGAGACTCAACTAAAAAATTACACGTCCCCTGACGAGTTCCACCAGGCATTGCGAAAAGGGAGCAAAAACGGTGGCGTGGACGTTGTGATAGACGAGATCCCTTACGCGAAACTTCTCATAAACCGGTACGACTCGAGGTACAAGGTTTACGGGCAGACTTACAGAATCGAAGGCCTTGGCTTCGTAAGTACTTTAGTTTCTCAACTTTAGTTTTTTTTTTTTTTTTTCGAAACGATAGATATATTAAGTAACAAAAATAATTACAAACTAAACAAAAGTTTATATCGCTACATCAAACATCTATAAAAGCTGAATCTAAGAAAACTGCACAAAACAAATTGACACAAAATAAAAGTTAATGCACCAAACCGCAAACTTAAAAAGTGAGAGAACAAAAACGGGTCGTTTTTTCAGGCATTTCCGGTTGGGTCGCCACTGGCGCCGTATTTCTCGAGAGCTATACTAAACGTGACGCAAGGTCCGGAGATGACGTTCATCGAGCAGAAGAACTTCGGGCCGGGCTATTCGTCCCAAGACCCGCTCTCGTCCACCCTGTCACAAGGGACCTCCAGCCTGTCTTTCTACGACTTTGCGGGTCTCTTTAGTATTGTGGGGTCGCTAACTGTGGCAGCTGTGGCCTGGTCCGAGAGGGCCGCTGTATTTGCTGCGATGGGTTATGTAAGACAAGTCGTTGGCAATGTTGCATATTACAGGCTTTACAGCTTTAATATGGTAATTGGTTTATAGCATACTACATGATGCACCAAAAAACATGATTGAGATTTATGGGTCATTGGATACTATGTATGTGTTGGTGGTTGGATGATGTTGAAAGTAGACGTGGCCAGGTGCCGGTTTCGGGCCCGGCCCGGCCCGGCCCGCCGGGCCACGGGCCCTCAAACAGTCGAACCGNNNTTTTTTTTTTTTTAAATGAAATGTAACGATTGGTGTCGAAATAATATGAAAATATAGTAAAATACGTGGATTGCTAATTAACCAGAAGTAATCTATTGCAATGTATCTATATTTTTTTTTCGTAGTCAGTCACTGTATCCGAAGCTATGCCCCGACTAATTCGTTGGTCGACCCGGTTCACACACCTAACAGTGGTAGGTGAGTCTCCCAATAAGGATTTTCTGCAATGTATCTATATTTGATATGTTAGTATGACAGTTTTTTATAGAGTAAATTACAATTTTAGTTATATATATTTCACTATTTTAATTTTTTCGTTTTTTTTTAAATGTGTTTTTTATTTCGTCTCGTATGTTTGAAAAAATGTTACAAAAAGTCTTTTATGTTTTGCAAAAGAATGTTTTAATTTCGTTCCTTATGTATGAAAATGACCTTGACCTTTTTTCAAACATACGTGACGAAAATAAAAAACCCAATTTAAAGAGGACAAACAAGTTAAAGTAGTGAAAACATACAGGACTAAAAATACAATTTACTCTTTTTTATATATATATTTTCTTTAGTATATCATTTTAATATTAAAATCTTTCTTTATCCCCTCTATATATATAATATAATAATATAATTCTTGATTGTGTAAATCTCCATTGTTTATATAGATAGTAAAAAATTAGTTTTATTATCCCTTATATATAATATTTTATATACTCATGACATAAAAATTGCGACAAAAAATAGTAAAGAATTATTTTTTCAATATTTCAGACTAAATTTGCAACACAATTAATTTTTATGGGACTAAATTTATAATTTTTTCCTCTTTTAACTTAACGACCCAATGTCACGTGACTCGCATGTGACACCCCGTTAAAATTTTGGCTTACTTAAGATATAAAGTTAGTTACTGAATTTCTACCGAGTAGCACTAATTTTGCAATAGTTCCAATCTCACACGACGAAATTTGCAAATTCCTCTAATTTGAGAGGACTTTTCTCCAATTATTGTTTAAGAGATTTTTTTTTTTTATTTTTTTTTTTTTCAAATATTCAAATTTATGTGTCAAAGGACAATTCTCTAATTTTTGCGGAAGATGGCGTCCTCTACATCTTGTCCCAAAAACCACTCAGCTGTGCTCACTACGGTCATGCGCCGGCTACGGGCGCCTGCAAAGCCTGGTGGATTCGATCCACGGACTATTACGTAGTTCTTTTCTGTCGCCGGAGTTGCAGTGTGCGGCGGCTGCAATTCTCCGTGGGACACTCCTCGGTAAGGTTTTCCGTTTTGGAAAAAGATCTTCCCTTTATATGGAAAAATTAGCCCGACTGGAAAACATCCAGGCGGTTAAACTGATGAATGTGAGTCCCAATTTTGACTTCTTAGCATTTACGGCGAAGAAATTAGCATTCAAGGAATTAGGTCTCCGGCAAGACCTTGTCAAAACCTATGTCTGTGTTGTTGTTCCCATCTTTCTGCATTGTTGACTATTGCATTTGAAACAGCATAATTATTGTCTATTTGGTGATGTCAGCAGCAAAAGAAGACTTTCAGTTATCTAAGTCTTTATATATCAATTTTCCTTCCTCGTTTCCAGCTCTGCTGTAATGCTATTGCTAGGCAAATTGCAATGATGCTATTGCTCTTCTAAGTCTTCGTCAACTTTGTTATTGAAATAAAATCTGTCGTGCCAGTGTTTGTGAGTTCAATCATGGGAGCATATGTTTTTGTTTCTTGAATTAAAAAGCTGAAGTCAACTTTCCTAGAGAGTTTGGTCACCCGCTTGTATTTTCGTAGAAGCTAACTAAACTGTGTGTATAAAGTCCACGATCAACTGGCCGCTGGACCTGGAGCGAAACAAGAAGAGCCTTTATTGATTAGGATTGAGATAGTACCATGGACCATAGAGTTCGGGCCTGTTATTTCATTTTTTCTCGTATTCTTATTCTTGTCTGCTTTTCTTGGTTTTCTTGTCACGTATCAGCTGTCAACATTGGTGTGGTTCGGAACTTAAGCTCGCCCTTCGGGAAAATGATTAATTTTTGCGTAGAGATGGCGATTTCAGATTTTTATTCAGCACATCCAAATTACACAACAAGGTTGGGACTGAGGTACAAGGATGTACAGGACTTGCTTGATGTTGATCTTGCTGGTACCTAAGTTACACATGCTCTCTCTCTCTCTCTCTCTCTCTTTAAGATTTATTACTGTTGGAAAGTGTACAACTTCTTATTTTTACGATAGTTATAGAAGAAAAAAGTGTAGAACTCCTTGTCAAACTAAATGGTATCTCGATAATGTATTACTTAATGCACTGGCACAGTGAGATACGGGTGTTTCATGTCAATGAAATTTTCTTGCAGTTCTAGAGTTAGTGGAGCATGAACAAGTGCACGGAGTTATCGAGCCTCAGGGGTCAGCAGATGAAACATTTGTTGCCGAACTCGGCAGAAAAGCTCAGGTGCCCGTTTTTTCATTTGCTCCAAGAGGCTTGCTCCTGCCTGGCTCAGAAAGCCCCTACTTTATAAGGACATATGTTGATGATGCAGTTCAAGCTCAGGCGCTAGCTGCCATCTGCCGGGAATTCAAGTGGAAGGAGGCCGTGATCGTCTTTGAAGACACGGATTCCGGCTACCAATTTCTATCTCGTCTGAGCAAGTTATTCCGGGATGCTGAAATTGTGCTGGCCCATCTGGCAGCCTTGCCGGCCTTGGCCGATGAGAGCCGTCTCGCCAAGGAGCTCGAGTTTCTGAAGCAAAACCTAACGGTCAAGGTCTTTCTGGTGCACGTGGGGCCCACACTTGGTGTCCGGCTGTTCACTCTCGCCGAGAAGCTTGGGATGATGAGCGAAGGGCACACATGGGTAATCACCGATAGACTTTCCAACTTTCTGGGTTCTGTGGGCCCATCTGCCCGTTCCCTGATGGAAGGCGTGGTGGGGCTTAGGGCCCACGTTCCCTTCTCCAGCGACCTTGAGAGTTTCCGGGAGAGATGGAAGGGGAACGACACGGATTTGAACATCCACGGGCTGTGGGCTTATGATACAGTAACTGCCTTAGCAATTTCGTTAGAGAAGATTGGACAAGACAATTTGAGAATCCCGTCTCTTGGTCCTCTGTTCCTAAAGGAATTGTCTGGGAATAGGTTCCGAGGCTTGAGCGGAGACTTTGAATTTCTCGAAGGGAGGCTGAAGTCCCCGGCAATTGAGATATTCAATGTGGTTGGGAGTGGAGAGAAAAGTCTGGGATCCTGGACGCCCGGTGGGGGAATCATGAAGGAACTCAGGAAGGCCATGTGGCCAGGAGACTCCACAAAGCAGCCAAAGGGCTGGTCAGTCCTACCATCTGGAATGCTCAGAGTTGGGATCCCTTGCAACTCGGGGGCCCCAGAGTTTATCAATATCTCGGCAATTATTGATCCTTTAACAAACGAAATAAATGCCAACGGGTTTGCAGTTGACGTGTTCTTGGAAGCATTACATGAGCTGCCTACGCATATCGACCACAGATTCTATTGTTACGGTGATATGAATAACACTGATTGGAGTTACGACGACATGCTTCAGCAGATACCTGAGGTGTTTGGCCTTAAGTGTGAATTTTTTTTTTTTCTATATTTTGCTTCCCATTGTGTGACTTGAATTGTTGTCTTGCTGATACAGAAATTTGATATGGTGGTAGCGGATGTGACCATTTGGGCGCCACGGACATTATATGTTGACTTCTCGCTGCCCTATCTTGAGTCGGGAATTGTTCTGGTTGTCAAGAAGAAGATGATTGGCATGTGGAGTTTCACCAGGCCGTTGAGGTGGGATCTATGGCTGGCGATCTTTGTGTCGTGTTTATCAATGGGATTAGTTATACGGGTTTTGGAACGCCGGGAGACCAACAATAATGCTGGGAGACATCCATTTGGCACAACATATTTAGCTCCCGTTGCGGTTCTGACTTTCCAAGAAAGTACAATTTCATACTCACGCGTGTTTCATATTTCTTAAATTCAGTTGGCCACCAAGTCCTCTATTCGGCACACTAGAAAAATTAATAGATGTAGATATGTGCTTGACTGCTTTTACGTAATGGGATCGTATGTTTTTTTTCCTTTCCAGGGGGTATGGTCTCGAGTAATTGCTCAAAGTTCGTACTGATTTGCTGGGTGTTCATGGCATTTATACTAATGCAGAGCTTCACTGCAAATTTATCTGCTATTCTAACTGTTGATCAACTGAAATTTGCATTTTCCGAGGATTACTATTTAGGCTACCGTTCAAGTTCCTTCACCAAGAAGTTTCTGGTGAGGAATCTGAATATTGATAAATCGAGGCTCAAGCCCTACATTACTGACGAAGAATTCCATGATGCCATGAGTAAAGGTAGCAAGAAGGGGGGAGTAGATGCCATCTTTGACGAGATTCCCTACATGAAGCTATTCATGAATAAATATAAATCTAAGTACAAAATAGTCGGACCAACTTACAGAACAGATGGTCTTGGCTTCGTAAGTTTTCAACTATGCTATTCCCTCTCCGGCTAGTGTATCACGAGTTTCATGCTCTGCCTGAAAATTTGAAGATTCCCGCCTTTTCACATCTAGTTTTGAACATTTTTACTTAATTTGATCATATTATTAATGGTTAATTTCAGGCCTTCCCCTTAGGCTCACCCCTCGCTGCGAATTTCTCGAGAGCAATCTTGAAATTTTGTGAAAATGGACAGAGGGAAATTTACGAGAAAAAGAATTTTGGATCTGGCTATTCTACCTTAACCGAGCAGGAGACTTCAAGCCTCACTTTCTATGATTTCTCGGGCCTTTTCTATGTTTTGGCTTCGGCGGCTGTATGCGCAGTGGTTTGCTCTGAGACCAAAATTCTAAGTAGATTCAGTAACATGTGCTTCTTTTTGAATAATGGAAGAAATGTAAATGCCGTTTTTCCTGAAGCTGCAGTTTCAGACAAGCAGGAGCCCGAGGAAGACAGTGATGCTGATGGAGATATTTTTGAGGATGCTTTGGATTATGAGGCCGATGATGTTCAGTAGGAGAATGTAAATTAGTGTGGTGTTTAACTTTTTTCACAGGAGATTTTGTTTTAGGTTGTGGTGTTTTCGACTCACAGCCATTTGTGGATGAAGTGCACAAATTGTTCAGAAATGCTTTTGCTCCTATAATGTTCTTAAATAAACTTTTTATTAGAGTGTGAGGATGTTGTTTATGACCCTCATACTGGTTCCATGCATGTACCCGATGATATTCAGTCCTTAGCCATTGAAAATAATTATATTAAATTACAACGCTTTTTTTTTTTTTTTTTAATTGCTGATGTGGTTTAATTAATTTGATAGGCTCTTGGATTGTGTTACTCTTATAATATTAATCTATTTGCCAAATAGCAACGAGCAAGTTCAATAATATATTTATAATTAATTCAACAAATTGTGTTTATAGTGGAGAACAATAGATGAATATACAAATGAGTTAATTGCTAAATAAATTTTAACTTTTTTGCGTTTTGCAATTTTATCTCAATCTTTGACTAATTGCAATATAATCTCGACATCAATTTACTTATTGCAAGTCAAATCTAAAATCGGTTGGACCTTCAAAAAACTGGTCGATTTGAAGGCGGTTCGAACATATCGGAGCTCATATTTACGGGTTCACTCCAGATCTAGGAGGAGACTAATCACTGGTAGCTTACATTGACGTGGAAATTTCGACTTTGTGCGTGGATATACATTAAATACGTGGAAATTGTCGACATGCTACGTGGATGACATAAAAGCTCATATCAATGGAAGACTTGGACACAAAATCGATCCACAAATCCCTAAAATCAATCACTCTGCATTCAAATTGGATTGCATTTATTTTTTCAAATACTAATTATATTAATAACTGAAAAATTCAAAACGAATACAACTGAGCATTGTTTTTCAACTCGAACCGATCCGGAGCTGGAACCGGGCCGGGTAAGCTATTTAGACCGGGCAACAATGAACCCGGTCAAACTCGGTCAAAGCGCGGCCAAGCTGGCCTTCACCCGGTCGACCCGGGCCATTGACCCGGTCCTTATATATTATTTATCTTTATTTTTAAATATTTTTTATATAAAAAATAAAAACTATGTAAATATATTGATATAGTAAATATTTATTGTGTGATATAATTTTTTTAACACTTTGATGTTCAAATTCTATATGCAAAATATTTATTTTTGTTACTTTTATGTAAAAATTTATACGTAAAAAATACTATATATATATAATTTAAAAGATTTTAAAATTAATTATTCGGGTTCAGCAATTGACCCGGTGACCCGACGGTTGAACCGATGACCCGAAGACCTGCACGGTCAATTTCGGGCCGGGTTTAAAAACTATGCAATTGAGGCATCAACGGACACCACTAGGGCCAGTACAAAGTCTGTACACCCCTCTTGGAATTACATAGACGACCAAGGGGGTACAATCACCTGAAGAAAAAAAAAAAATCAAAGAATGAGACACAAACTTTATACAGTAGACCAGAAGCCAGACGCAACTAAACTAAAAAGACAAACTAAAGAGAAATATAAAAAACAACAACACGGATTGGGCTTCAGGAACCTTGAAATTTTTAATGTTGCTCTCTTGGCCAAACAGCTGTGGAGGCTTATCACTAAACCTAATTTATTAATGAGTCAGACTATGAAGGCAAAATATTTCCCAACTGGTGGTGTTCTTAATGCTAAGGTAAAAAATCAAGACCCATGGGTTTGGAAAAGTTGGGCAAAAGCAAGGGAGGCACTGGCAGCTGGTTTAAGGATGAAAGTGGGGGATGGTAAGAACATTAGGATTTGGGAATCTCCTTGGGTTCCTAATCTGTCTAATTTCAAGCCTACAGGTAGAGCTGACAGAGTCTCTGAAGTTGAGTGGGTGAGTGATCTGCTTCTGGATAATAAAAAGGAATGGAATGCCCCACTGATTCAAAAGCTATTCACAGATCAAGAGGCCACTGAAATCCTCAACATTCCTCTTGAGGATACTGGTAACAGGGATAGATTCATTTGGGTGGAGGAAAAGAGTGGCATATTCTCTGTAAAATCTTGTTATAATTCCATTCTGGACAGGAAGAAAAAGGAGATTGCAGTACCTGAAAGCAACACTAGTACAACCATTAAGAGGAAGATGTGGTCTGCCACCTGGAGTCTCCAGGTAAAACCCAAACTCAGAGTCTTCCTTTGGAGATGTATCCATAATTCTCTACTTGTGGCTGAGAAGTTGAACATTAAAGGCATCATTTCTTCTTCTTTGTGTTGTTTCTGTGGAGAATTTGCTGAAAATCAGACCCATATTTTTTTCAATTGGGAGAGAGCACAAAGAGTATGAAAGTTATCTCCTATTCACTGGGATAATACTCAAATCAGATCAGATAGTTTTAGTGAAAGGTGGTCGGACATCTGCACTGCAAATCAAGGAGAATGTTGGGAAGACAGATTAGAGCTCTCGGTTTATCTTCTATCATGGTTATGGAAAACTAGGAATCTGTGGCTATTTGAAAAATTGTTAATTTCTGAATTTGATATGGTGGAGAAAGCCAGAACAGAATGGCTTGAATACAAGAATGTTCATAATTTGGCAGCTTCTCATTTTTGCTCTTCTGGGACTGTCGATACTACAGTAGGGCAAATATTGATATTTGTCAGTGCTAGTGTTGTTCCATGTGCTGGCCTGGCATTGGTTGTATAGCAAAAAGAGCATATTCTGAAGAGATCTGTAGGGTGTGGCAAAACTCCATTCCATCGTGCAGGGATTTGGAGGAAGCTGTTCTTACTGGTATTCAGCAAGCACTTTGGAAAGCTTTCATGTTGGATTGGAGGAGCATTGAGATTGTGATTGATGATGAGGTTATGGTTAGCAAGCTCAATATGCCTGGGATTTTCAGTGATAACTTGAAGATCATAATCGAAGACATCCTCCATTTGGCTTCTCTTTTTCACTGTAGCTCTTTTGTTTTTGCGCATCACCCTTCTTTGGATAGTTGTTCTAGTCTTGCATTAGATTCAGCTACTTCAGCTTGTAACAATGAATGGGTTGATTATTTCCCAAGTTGGATCTAGTTTCTAGATGTAGCTTGGTTCTCTATTGTGATCAGTGGATCACCGATTTGTACAAAACTTTTCTTTTGTGAGTTATATAGTTTCTATCATTTGGAAAAAAAAATAATAAAAAAAAAATCCAATCAAAATAATAATAATAATAATAATAATAATAATAATAATAATAATAAATCTTACATGCTAGCATCCTAACTAGCAGTTCAGCAATATTCGCATTGTGTTGCTTGTTCGATTACCCTGACTAAGTGGACGCGAAAAGGCCCAGGGTCTTCCACAATCGATCAAATCATGGAGGACTACCATGGCAGAACTGCGGCGGAACACCTTACCTCGGGAGTCGATCGGTTCCAAGTAACTACAATGTTGTTACAAAGAGATGCTTATCATTTAGCGCGAATATCGATGATTTCGCTTTACCGGATGGGTCGATTCCCGACGCGGGCTCCCGTATAAGCCTCGTTGACTCTTCTATGCCCGGCCGGGTGGATTGGATCAGCGGACCCGACTGAGGTTCTGTTCTGTCGCCGGAGTTGCATCGTGTGGCGGCTGCAATTCGCCATGGAGACTCCTCACTCCTCAGTAAGGGTTCTGTTGAAGATTTATCTTTAAACTGATGAGTGTGAGTCCCAATTTTTGTGACTGAAGAAATTGGCAGTACAATCTTCATAACCTATGTGTGTGTTGTTATCCCCATCTTTCTTGCAGTGTTGACTATTGTTCAGTGGTTCAATTGGTGATGTTCCAAGGTAACATAGACTTTTACTTCTCTAAGTCTTTACCTATCAATTTTGTCTTCATTTGTTCTTCCTTTGCTGTAATGCTAGGCAGTCATGCTTGCTCCCAAGTCTTCGTCAACTTTGTTAATGAAATAAAGTCTGTCTTTTCGTGGAAGCTAACCAACCCGAGTGTATAAAGACCATGGCCAACCGGGCGCCGGACCTTAAGCGAAACAAGAAGAGTTTTATTGATTAGGATTGAGATACCATGGAACAGAGAGTTCAGGGCTGTGGTTTTGTTTTTTCTTGTATTCTTGTTCTTATCTGCTTTTCTTGGTTCTGTTGTCATGCATCAGTGGTCATTGGTGTGGTTCGGAACTTAAGCTCGCCCTTTGGGAAAATGATTAATTTTTGCATAGAGATGGCGATTTCAGATTTTTATTCAGCGCATCCAAATTACAAGACAAGGTTGGGACTGAGGTTCAAGGATGTACAGGACGTGATTGATGTTGATCTTGCAGGTACGCAAGTTACACATGCTCTCTTTCTAAGATTTATTGCTGTTGGAAAGTGTATAACTCATTTTTACTGTAGTAAAAGGAAAAAAAAAAAGAAAAAAGAAGTGTAGAACTCCTTGTCAAACTAAATGGTATCTAGATAATGTCCTATTTGATGTACTGACACAGTGAAATATGGGCGTTTCATATCGATGAAAAATTTCATGCAGTTCTAGAGTTAGTGGAGCAGGAACAAGTGCACGGAGTTATAGTCTCTCAGGGTTCAGCAGGTGAAACATTTGTTGCCGAACTTGGCAGAAAATCTCAGGTGCTGATTTTTTCATTTGGTCCAAGAGACTTGCTCCTGCCTGGCTTGGATAACCCCTACTTCATCAAGACATATGCTGATGATGCAGTTCAAGCACAGGCGCTTGCTGCCATCTGCAGGGAATTCATGTGGAAGGAAGCTGTGATCGTCTTTGAGGATACAGACTATGGCTACCAATTTCTATCTCGTCTGATAAAGGCATTCCGGGATGCTAAAATTGTGCTGGCCCATCTGGCAGCCTTGCCGGTTTCTGTCGATGATAGCCGTCTCTCCAAGGAGCTCGAGTTTCTAAAGCAAAACCTTACGGTCAAGGTTTTTCTGGTGCACGTAGGGCCCACGCTCGGTGTCCGGCTGTTCACACGCGCCGAGAAGCTTGGGATGATGAGTGAAGGGCATGCATGGGTAATCACCGACAGACTTTCCAACTTCCTGGGTTATGTGGGCCCCTCCACCCATGCCCTGATGGAAGGCGTGGTGGGGTTGAGGGCCCCCATTCCCTTCTCCAGGGACCTTGAGAGTTTCCGGGAGAGATGGGAGGGGAACGACTCGGATTTGAACATCCATGGGCTGTGGGCTTATGATACAGTAACCGCCTTAGCAATTTCGTTAGAGAAGATTGGACAGGAAAATTCGAGAATCCCGTCTCTTGGTCCTCTGTTCCTAAAGGAATTGTCTGGGAATAGGTTCCCAGGCTTGAGCGGAGACTTTGAATTTCTCGAAGGGAGGCTGAAAACCCGGACAGTTGAGATATTCAATGTGGTTGGGAGTGGAGAGAAAAGTCTGGGATCCTGGACGCCAGGTGGGGGAATCTTGAAGGAACTCAGGAAGGTCATGTGGCCAGGAGATTCCACAAAGCAGCCAAAGGGCTGGTCAGTCCTACCATCGGGAGTGCTCAGAGTTGGGATCCCCTGCGACTCGGGGGCCCCGGAGTTTGTCAATATCTCAGCAGCTTCTAGTGATCCTTTGAATGATTCAAATATCAGCGGGTTTGCAGTGGACGTGTTCTTGGCCGCATTACGTGAGCTGCCTACGCCAATTGACCATGGATTCTGTTGTTTTGGTGATGCGGAGAACGCTAATTGGAGTTATGACGACCTGCTAGATCAGATAGAGGTGTTTAGGCTTGGACTTATTATTATTCTTTTAGTAGTTCTATTTTTCTTTTTTTCTTTTTTTTTTTAATATTTGGATTCCAACTGCATGACTTGAATCGTTGTCTTGCTGATACAGAAATGCGATATGGTGGTAGCGGATGTGACCATTTGGGCGCCACGGACATCACATGTTGACTTCTCGCTGCCCTATCTCGAGTCGGGAATTGTTCTGGTCGTCAAGAAGAAGACGATTGGCATGTGGAGTTTCACCAGGCCGTTGAGGTGGGATCTATGGCTGGCGATCTTTGTATCGTGTTTATTAATGGGATTAGTTATATGGGTTTTGGAGCGCCGAGAGACC